GTGTCAGTGGGGAAGGTCTCTGGGGTCCCTGTGGCTGGGATTAGAGTCTCCGGCAAGAGCCCCCGTCCTAGAGGCAGGTTAATAGGCAGGGTTAGGAGGCAGACGAGCTGAGGCAGAAGCGGCCACAACAGCCTGAGATCTGAGATGAGAGCGAGACAGCAGCAGAGATGGACTCTGAATAAAGGGTAAGAACCCCAGTCAGGACTCTGTGTACAGACGGGTGCGGGGCTGACACTGCAGGTTGAGGGACTTGGGTGTGCCCTGGTGTGGGAACAGCACTGCCCGGAGCGGTGACCTGGCGGGGCCTGATGGCTAAAGTGACACAAGGAATGGGCTCCAGACATCTCTCATGCAAAACGCTTCTTAAGAGTGAATCTAGGGGCAGGTGGCCTTTAAGGATGCTCATCAAACTGCCTGCTTTGTAGGGCTGTGCGTGTGAAGAGAGATTATTGGTTCTTCTGATTTCTTCAGCTTTATCTGCCTCGCATTTGCCTACTGTGTGCAAAGCACATTTTCAAGATGCTGGTTTCTACATATTTCACAATCCTTGAAAACTATCCTATATTGAAACCGCATGTCCTGTTGGCATGACTGCTGCTCTGATTGGGAGAAAATACATGACGTTTATGTCAGTAAGGAAATCTCTACAAAAATGTGATTAGGCACCAGATGACACTTACATATCTGTATGAATTACTAAAACATAAGATCTCATAATCAAGTTTCCTTCCTCTCTGATGTTTGGGTATTGAACCCGCATCTTGGAGGTTTATTAACTAACATCTGTGTGGTGCCCGAGTTACCACTGCATAAACTCACAGAATCTGATGTATTATGGGGAAGGAAGGTTTTAAGATCTTTTTTTCTCATGGGTACTAGGGACTGAACCCAGGACCTTGTGCATGCTAGCCATGCTCTCTACCACTGAGCTGTACTCTCCTCTTAGAAAGGAAGGAACCTGAGAGGTTATCTCGTCTCATCCAACTCCTAACCGGTTCAGGAACTGCTCCTCTGCCGTCATGCCTGTACTCAGCAGATCTGTACTGAGTCCTTCCTAGTCTTGGGCCCCACGTGGGATCCAGGGCAAACGTGGCCCTGCTGCCCAGAGCTGCCTCTGGGAAGGGAGAGACAGGCAGCAGGTGGTGCAGAGATCTGTGTGCTTTGAGGGATGCTCTGAAAGCAACGGGCAGGGGGCTGTGACCCATGAGGGACCTAGTCTAGACGCCGGCTCTGAGGGATGACATTTGGGCTGAGGGCAGTGATGGGCATTCTGGGGTGGATGCCCGTACAGGGACAGCAGGACCAGGGGAAGACACGGACGAAGGCCGCCCTGACCCAGTGAGCAAAGGCAAGCAAGTGCCATGGGGTGAGGCTGGCAGGGGCAGGGGCTCCCGGGCTCAGGGCCTTGTAGGGCAAGCACAGATGTTCAGGTGTTATTCAAAGTGAAATGAGAAGGCACTGAACAGGTTAAAGAAAGGGAATAACATTATATCTGCTTCTTAAGTTCAGTTTTTAACCAAATTCTGATTAATTCACCACCTTCTAAAAGACCAAATACTTAATAGAATGAAGGAAAACCACTGAAATGTTGACAATATTCTTTTTATAAGGTGGGAGAGTGGGTCTTTTATATCCTGATATTTTAAATATTTTGCTCGCTTTTTTTTTTAAAAGGAAGCATTTAAAATTTAGAAAAAGCTCCCGCATTCTTACATAAAAGTATATGGGAAGCCAGATTTCACTGGCCAGTGATATCAATGTATCTGCATGTGAGTATGGTCTATAATTGTTCAATGAAATTTGAAACAAAGGTGGTTCTGAAATACATTACCAGCAGGTAAAACATTGTTTTCTTCTATGTGTTTTTAGTCAGGGAGAAATTTGTTTTTTTTTAAGGATAGTTTTATTTATCAAAATTGTCATCATTGCAGTACATCTGTTTACGCCTGTGTACAGGATGCTGCTCCAAAGGCTGACAGATAGTCTTGTGTTCAAACAGCAGGCCCTGGTTTTGTGTCTTTTTGTAGTTACAGCTTGTTCCTGAACCCTCCCCTAGTTTAGAAATAACTCATGAATATGGCTCTGTGCTCCACCAGCGACCTTGGAAAGAAGAGGGAGGTGGGATAAAGCAGCGTCTACCTCTTTCTGTTCCCCTGACTCCCATCCTCGCGCCACTGGCGGAGGTACATTTCTAAGTCTCTGTAGGGAAGGTTCACCTCACCCTTGACAGAAGGGCTTTCCTCCACCCTTCCTAACAGGTTCTTCAAATGTACTGCGTGCATTAATTAACCTTATCAATTCGAAATTAGTGATTCTCTGGAAATGAGGACAGCTTTAATTCCAAGTGTAAATAGCTACAACATTTCCCAGCCTACCTCGAAATGGCAGCTTTATTATGCAAGATCTGGGGAGGCTATTTAGAGAGTTTAGACACGTGCTCCCTGATCTTGAAGGACTTCATCTCAAAAAGGGAGCAGGAGACTAGGAGACAGAAAAATCTTCTGGAAGGCTTAGCAGTATGTAAAAAAAAATGTCAGCAGGTCTGAATCAAACGATGAAAAAATTCCCTGATCATCGCTACTTTCTCATGTTTTATATATTTCATTTCTGCTAGAGATCTCATTTCAAACAGGGCTTCTCAGTTGAGAAGTTTTCAAAGTTTGAAGACCCACTGTGATGTAGGTAACAATGGAGGCTCCATTTATTGAGTTCCTGCTGTGGTCTAGGCACTGGGCTAAGCATTCTATGTATTTCACGTAAATAAAGTCTAAAAAAAACAAACCCACGAGGTGGGTCTTAGAATTCCCATTGTACAGATGAGGAGACTGAGGTTCTGAAAGGATAAGTCATTTGCATCACATGCATAGCTATTCAGTAGCAGGGCCAGGATTCAAACTCAAGTTGGTCTGCTTTCAACTACAGTGCCACGCTAATCTGGGTTTAAGGCTCAAGTGCAGACATTTACAGGCACTTTAAAGAGTATGCTAATACTGCAAACACAGACATAGAGAAACACGATAAAACTTATGGAGGTGTGATTGTGATGGTACACACACTGCCTAGATGTTGATTTATATTTTAAATTTTAATTAAAAAATTTAAAAAAATTTGGGGGGGAGGTAATTAGATTGATTTTTTAAAAATAGAGGCACTAGGGATTGAACCCAGGACCTTGTGCATGCTGAGCAAACGCTCTACCACTGAGCTATACCTTCTCCCCTTTTAGATAGTTCTTTAATGAAAGGGGTTCTAATGGCTCAAGAAACAAGCTTTGGTCACAAAGGATGGAGAAATGCTCCTGGACGAGGAGGACAGACTGCCAAGGCTCAGAGTTCTTGCTTTGTGCAGAAGCTGCCTGGAGGGGGAGGCAACGTCTCTGTGTCCTCCCCAAGCCCCCAGTCTTTTCATTAAAGAATAGTCTGAAACTTCAAATGACAACAAAGAAGACTAAAGGGGAAGTCTAGCTGGGATTTTAGGGGTGACACGGGCACTATGGGGTCTATGGGAATGTCGTCAAAAACAGGACAGATGGACAGTCATTCTGGGGAAAACCACTGGGAAAAAGGAAGAGAACATAAACACAGAGACAAGGAGAGACTGTGGATGAGGTCAGATTCCTTGTGTCTGACCCTTTAAATGGCACTACTGCTGGTGTATTTGTGCAAAGCTTGTCAGCTGCATGCTTCCAGGAGAGGAGAACGGAATATCTTCCTCCCTTTAAAGGGAAAAACTCTTCCAGGTGCTTTTTCTGTTTTGTTTTGTTTTGTTTGTGGAACCATTTTTCTCTTCCAGGAAGTTGTCAAAACATGGGATTTTTAACTTTAAAGAAAAACAGGACTGAAATGTGTCAAATCCCTGGAAACAGTCTTTAACCCAGTTGAGTTTACACAGAAAAGCACACACTAAAAATCCTAAGACCATCTGGCCACGGAGATTTCAGTTTCTCTGACAACACCCCTGGAACTACGGGAGGGGAAGTCCGGTAACCACCACAGCAAACGTCAGCCAGGAGAACAAACAAGAACGGACCGGTTTCAAAACAATACATCTTAGTTCCTGTTCCACCAAACGTTAAGGCCCCTGTCCTCTCCCAAGGTTAACGTGGGACAGCACAAGTCCTGAGTGCAAATCAAATCATATTTAAGAGGCACGAGGGGAGGGGGCTATTTAAAGCAAACCCGAGATAAACGTGCATATAAAGTAATCACTCTGCCTCTGCTTATTGGCTTAGTGTTTGTATGGCGATAAAATAGGTATCTCCCAGTAGTCATTACAACTTTTCTGAGTTACATTCATTCATGGTTACTACTACATTTGCAAGAGTGAAAATTTTACTCCTCAGGTATTTGAAATCTGCTGTGATGGTCAAAAGTGGAGGAGGGTAGGAAGGAATGAAAGAGAAAGCGGAATAAGAAGACTCCCAGGGAGATGGAAAGACCCAGGGCAGGGCGGGTGTCATGGTGAGAGGGACAAGCCAGAGCTCTCAGATCAACCTGGAGTTGAGCTGACAAGATTTCAAATGAGAAGGGACTAATCTTTACAAAAGGAGACAAGCGAGAATCCTTTGTGTTGGTAACTGATAAACCTATGCCTGTAGTGAAAATCAAGCGAAACTCACAATCATTTGCAAGTCCTGAAAAGTAAATGTAAAATTTAGATCTTCTAGGCAATGTCTTGATTAGGTAGATATTTAAAGGCTAAACCTGTTTGTCCGGTGCTTTTCCTGAAAGCCCTCTTTTCAGGACCGCATCATCCTGGTGGGTTTTATTTGCCCATCCCACTGATTATGGAATACTTTTACTTGCTGTTTGGTTTTGGGGGGAGGATGACCGAGAAGCGTCATTTTGCACTTGGGGAAGGAACAGAGGAAATGGGGCAAAGGGTCATGCCAGAGGAAAGTGGGCAGAGGCGAGAGGAGCTCAAAGGGGAGTGAGAGGTGAGGGTGGTGGGCACCATCTGGTTGGTGTTTCCGGAAGGTGATCAAGAGGGAGGTCAGTTACCTGAAATTTCTGGAAGTGTAGGCTTGTCTTCTTTCCGGAAGTCCCCATCACAAACAGGAAGTCTGGGGTCAGCACAAAGGGCACTCTTTCTTTATTAATGCCCAGGAAACTTTTGTAATTCCCAAGAATGTGCCCGAAGTCAATGTGAAATAGATTTCCTTGAGGGAAGAAAATGTCTGACATCATTACCCTGGCATAAGCAGTTGCAAAGAACACCCTGATTTGTTTATCTCTTGACATATTTTTAAGTTGCCTGAAAATGAGCTATCTTGGGTGAGAGTGCTATTTTTACTCTGTTTTACTAGCAGGTGTGTGTAGTAGTAGCCACAAAGCACCCTTTGAACCAAGAGTAGTTTTGATACCCTTCTGGTGTTCTTTAAATGACAGCCAGATGCCATTAAAAAAAATTCTTGTCTCAGAATTACTTTTAGAAATATAAATCAAAACTCTCTGGCTTATATGTCATCATTACACCCAAGACTCTTTTATGCCCTTTAAGTAACTCGGGAGAGACTGATGTTTCACTCTGCCAGGGTGGGGTTCGTCTTTTACTTTTGAGTTGCACGATAGAAATAAATCATTTTTGAATTTCGTTTGGGTCAATTTCTTTTTGTTTTAAACTTTCTTTATTGAAGTATAGTTGATTTGGTTGTTTTGGTGAAGAGGTAGTTAGATTTGCTTACTTCTTTTTTTTCTTAACGGAGGTGCTAGGGATTGAACCCAGGACCTCGTGCATGCTAAGCACGCACTCTGCCGCTAAGCTATACCCTCCCTCCATAGGTCAATTTCTACCACTACAGTTCCCATCACCTCTTCTCATTAGTATAGCCCTATATATATGTATGGTCCCTAGATGCATTATCTCTTAATTCCCACAGAGAATTAGTGATTTACCCCAAAATGGTGCTGTTTCTAGACTCCACTCTTGAATTGGTCCAAATTTTTTGGAGGAAAAATTTCATGGTATGTAGCCAGTACTGACCACTGTCAGAGTGGACAGTGAACCAAGGAAGGGGGTAGGTTAGGAAGGCACAGCATTTCAGATTAAAGGATATCTGTGACTTCTTTGTTGCTTCTCTGCACCATCGGACACTGCTGATAACACCCACCCGCATTAGCTTCTGGGATAGGACTGCCTTCTAGCTACTGACTGGCTCGTCCTTCTGAAGTCCCATGTCCTGCATCTTCTTCCATTACTCACCCCTGGGTCCTTTCTAGAATGATCACAGCCTCTGTGTCCCTACACAATAATGACTTCTAGACATGTGCTCCAACCTTGACCTCCATTTAAAAATTACTCTGTGCTGGGGGAGGGGGAATGGGGGGATTCGTGTTCAGTGGGTACAGAGTTCCCTTGGGGGAAGGTGAAAAAGTTCTAGAGGTGGATGGTGGGGGTGGTTGCACAACCAGGTGAGTGCAGTTAAGTATGCAGTTAACACTGGTCAAAATGGTAGATTTTATATTATATGTATTTTATTCCAATTTTAAAAATTGATCTACAATACATAAACTCACCTGTCTCTGAGATCATAATATTGTCATTGTGTCTGTCGCCTATTCCAAGAACAAAGGTTGCCACACAGTAGCCAGCGCAGGAATAAACAAATCTCTCCACCGCTGCCTGAAACTAATTAAAATATGTCTGAACATTAGTTGTGTTTTAACTACAAAGAGCAGCATGAAGCTATTACAAAGGACTCCCCAAAACACGGTCTTCTGGGGATCATTTTCCAAGAGCAAGTCAGTTGTGCCTGGTTTCATTAGGGTTCTCTGGATTAAGTGCCAACTTTCTCACTGCTCTGCTTAATATTTTAGGTGAAGATACGATGAATCACAGTAGCCCAGGGAGGAAACAAAGAGTCAAAGGACAACAGTAATTTAATCAGAGCGCCTCTCCATGCATGACTTGCCAGCAACAATACAGAACCCATAATGATTCCTCCTTCATTTGTGAACATATGTTTTGCTTGTGACCACTTAAAGTATGCATGGGTTCACAAATGCACATGTATAACAGACTAATAAATGCTACTAATTATATTTCCTTCCCCAAAGGCTGCTAACCATGCAAATGAGAAGTGCTAATCCTGCACAGCATAACTTTAACCAGCAGCCAAACAGCTTAACCGCACAGTCTGTGAAGGACTCAGCAGATGTACTTCTGAGGAATGGGACTGACATTCTCAGCATCCATAATTTACCATTGGGGTTAGGGTGCGGTGGTGGTAAATTATAAATTACTTTAAAAGGTCCGTTTCCCAGGTCAGAAAGAGTTTATACACGGTAAATAAATTTTTCTGCTGAACAATAGGCAATCATCAAAAGTGGTAACAAGTTAGTGCCCAGAACCAAATTTTATGCAAAGCAGGCCTCCTAATCATAGGAGAAGCAAATGCTCAGGGAGTTCTGAGCCGAGCACCTCTGTGGTACACAGATCTGCTGTGTCACCATGGGAAAGCACTTAAAGCCCCAGGAGCTCAGGAATAAGGGGCTTCCCCAGTGTGTCAGGGTGCATGGCCCTGGCAGACCCCTTGGAACCGTGAAACCTCTACTGCTGTGTCATGACAACGTGTCAGGAGCCTTCAGGGTGGGGAAAAGCAGGAGCCCACCTTTTCGTCAATGGGGCATTTTTCTTTGAGCCAGTGATTCAGGACTTCATCTTTAAAGGCGCCCGTGTTGCCCACCGTGCTCTGCTGAATTTTGGCGATCGTTGTGGCGTCTTTCACGATCTCGATCATTCCTATGGGAAGACACACAGAGTCTGATGCCAACCGGGGCTGAGTAACCTGACCCAGGGAGGAACGGCTGTGTCTCTGTTGGAGGGTGGAGAGCTTTCTCAACCAGGGGAATATTTTCCAGATTCATGCTGTTGGTTTTCTTAGGAGGAAGAGAAAGAAAAGGAGGAGGATTCGGGACTGTGTAGGACCTGCTTTCAATATCCCTGAATGAAAAGAGGAAAGGGCTAGTTTTTTAATAAGCAAAAGCACGAAGGTACTGGATGCATCTTTCCTCACTTGGCAACCTGGGTCTTTCCCTTTTCTAAATTACAGAGTCTAATGTAAATGGTTTTCTACACTTCTCAAGTTGGAAACTCAATTAAAAACCTGTTTGATTGAAATTAAGATGTGAAATGTCTGTAAAAGCACCTAAGAGCATGTAATAGCTTTGATAATGTGAATTCTGGGATAGCAAAACAAGTGACAGATCTTTCCATCTATTTTTAAATGCTATTTGTGAGAGAGAAGTTTAATGTGCAGTGAAATGTGTGAGTTCAGAGGTGGAGAAGTAGAGAGGAGGGAACAAGCTCTCACTACGGTCATTTCCACATCAAGTCACAAGGAGTTGGAATGGTGCATTCATGTATTCTCAGCATGTCTGCATTAAACCAAGAGTTAACATTCGCCAGCATTGGAACATTTTCTTCCTTTTTCTATGGATTATGATTGTCATTTGGCAGTTATTAAATGCCTACACTAAAGGAATTATCCTTTAAAATGAGCTGAGTGGTCTCTTCACCCCGAGGTAACCACACACCTATTTTGTCACCAGTTGAGATGCATCCATATGGCAGGAGGCACAGATCCAAAGACTCAGTCTCCCAAATGGACTCCATGATTCGTAGAATCTGGGCATCAAAAGACAGAAACATCTCCATTATCAGTGTATATTTTTCTTCTCTGTTAAAAACAACAACAGCAACAGCCTTCTCTGGTAACACAAGATATTTAAGTGACCATAAAATATATAAGCAACAAATGTGCTCTTATTTATCGACCTGGTACTCTCAAGTTTCCCTTTCTTGGAAGCCTGTCAGTTTTGGTCCCTGAGAGGTACCCTGGGAAAGAGGATAGTTGGATTTGTTTTGGGGTAGGTTTTAGCCGTGATTCATCTATTATTCAAATGTCCCAAGTTACGTGTATTTTACCACAATGAAAAAGGTTCCACTAACACATTTTTATCCATAAGGCACTCACTCTTGGGCTACAACCAATGCAACAATAGCAGTAACAGGGGTGATGACTAACATTCACTGAGTGCTGATTTACGTTGATCCTTTGCACTAACCCCTAGCATGGACTGGATAATTATTCCCATTATGCAGGTGAAGAGATTAAGGCTTAGACGGCTTAAATAACCTGCCCTTACCTGCCAAACTGCCTCAAAGATGGGGGGGAAAAAAGCACGTAAACGACAAGTGCAAACTTCCCCTCAAAATGAGAGGAACAACACAGCTATGTTTTGTGATTTTGAAGTGCCCGTGTTCAAATGATTCAAAAGATTCTGCAGATTTACTGGAGATTTAATAAACTCTCAAAAGCTTTGAAGGATTTCTTTTCTTTTTTCTTTTTTTTGTAGTAACTACTTCCAGGATAATACTCATACCGTTCTTTTTTTTAATTGAAGTATGGTTGATTTACAATCTTGTGTTAGTTTCAGGTGTACAGCATAGTGATTCAGTTATATATACATATATATATATTCTTTTTCATTATAGGTTATTTTAAGATACTGAATATATTCCCTGTGCTGTACTGTAGGTCCTTGTCACATACTATTCTTGAAAAGAGAGCAAAAGGTATTATTGTTATTTCAAAAATAAACAAAAACAAGAACATAGAGATGAAAACATAATCTCTTAAATAGGCTACATTTATGGGGAGAGTATAGCTCAAGTGGTAGAGCGAGCACATGCCTAGCATGCACAAGATCCTTGGTTCAATCCCCAGTACCTCCTCTAAAAATAAATATATAAACCTAATTACAAAAAAAATAGGTTACATTTAAATCAGTGTGGTTTGCCTATTTTCATTAAATCATACTAAATGTTAGAAAGTGTTACCTCTACAGTATTAAACTATTAGGGTATGGAGAATATTACTTTACACATTTGCAAAGCTAAAGTTTATGTTAGAAAATATGAAAATGGTCAACATTGATACCTTTCCCGTTCACCTTCTGTTCTAGTAATCTGTTTACTCTGGTTACTGAACTGCATGAATTCTCCAGTCGCCTGCCTGTTCATCTTCTCCCTGCTTCCTATTAATTATTTACTTGAGTTTGTGTACATGGACATGAATCAAAGATGATGGCACCAAGGAGAGCACCTGTGGGTGCGTAGCTGTGTCTGTGGAGATGAATACCCTGTGTCCCACACTGGGAGTGGGGCATGCAGCAAAGAGGCGGGGTGAGGGAAGTGCAGCTGGCTGTTTGGGAGTGCGGACATGCACCTCCTTGGAATGGACAGAGCTGCGAGGCTCACTAGACTGCATATCCATGGGCCAGTGGAAACTGTTCATCAGGTAAAATAGGGGAACAGCAATACAGTCAATAGAAGGCATTTTTAAAGATCTAACAAAGAATTCTCTTCTCAGGTAATTGAAAAAAAAAATTCCTTAACAGTGGCCCACCTGTAAAATCAGCATGTCTTGGCGCAGATCGTCACCATGTTTAAAGATAATTCCAATTGTTTCGTTTGATAGAGCTGTAGGGTCAGCACATTTAAACTCAAGCCACAAGGGCTTTTTCTTGGAGGCCATCACTTTACATTTTTCAATCTGTAAGAAAACAGCCATAAGTTTCCTACACACAATTGAACACATATTGTGGAGACACACATCTTCTTGCAAAGCATCACTGTAAACAACTAGGACCAAGTCCCACTTGGAAAATGATTTTCAGTGATCTGGGTAAAAATGCCAAAGGCATTTTCATCAAATCAAAAAAAAAGCTAGTGAGAGGAATGCACACTGCTTCAACCAGTGGTTCTCAAAGTATGTTCCAAGGAACCCTAAGCATCCATGGAGGTGCCTGAGAGGCGTGGCACTTCTCATCCTCTGCACACCCCACTCCCATAGGACTCCTGCACGTCTGTGTCCCCTCTAACGCAGAGCAACTTGGCTGTTATTTGTATATATATTTGGCCTCCCCCTAAGATTTGCATTGAAAAAAAGAGTTCTGTTGTTACCATAGTGTCTAAAAACTGTTGTTGCAAAATTAACTGCAATATAATTCTAGGCCAAATCTAACAGGATGAAATTTAACAGCCATCAATGGAAACCTAGTGCAGGTACAATGCCTATCTCCTGTCCCAATCCCCCATACATGTACATAAATTCAAGGTGTGGCAAATGTGGCTTAGCAGCCACTCACTCCAAAAAAAAATAAATAAATAAATAAAAAATAAAAATCTTAGGAGTTTTAGCCAAAAGTGAATTCACCATGGATCAATAATATGATGTGCTCTTTAAGAAAAGCAAACATAATTTGAAGTTGTATTAATATATCATTATTCCTGTTAGCCTCTAACTTCATGCTGACAGTCGATAGTGTGTGCTTTTGCTATAGAGCCAGTTTACTGCTAAGAGGATGTAATATTAAAACATGGATCAAAGACTTAAATGCAGGAATTAAAACTACAAAACTTTTAGGAAAAAACATTTGTCACATTGAATTGGGCAGTGTTTCTCAACTTCGGCACTACTGACACTTTGGGCTGGATAATTTTTTTGTCATCGGGGGTGGGGACTGTCCTGTATATTGCAGAATATTTGGCAGCATCTCTGGTCTCTACCCACAGGTTGCTGGTAGCATTCTCCTGGTTGTAGCAATCAAAAATGTCTCCAGACATTACCAAATGCCTCTTGATTAAGCAAACACTTGTTAGGACACGAAATGCATGAACTGTAAAAGAAAAAGTGATAAGCTGGACTTAAAGTGAAAACCTTCTGCTCTTTGAAATACACTACTAAGAAAATGAAAAGATAAGTCACAGACTGGGAGAAAATATTTGTAGACTATATCTGATAAAGGATTTGAATCTAGAATACAGGAATAACTTATAAATAATAAGAAGAAGGCAACTAAATTAAAAATGAATGGAAAATGTGAAAAGAAACTTCCCAAAAGAAGATGGCAAATAAGCATGCGAGAAGAGGCTCAATATCGTTAGGGAAATACAAATAAAAACAACAGTGAGATACCACTTCACAGCCATTGAATGGCTATAATTAAAAAGACTGATGGTAAGTGTTCGTTAGGATGTGGAACAATGAGAACTTGCATAAACTGACAACTGTGTCATAAAATAGCACAGTGCTCATTATAAAATGGAAAGACAGTTTGGCAGTATCTTATAAACACACACTTCCTGTATGACCCAACTATCTCACTGCTAAATATTTACTCAAAAGGTGAATAGATAACAAATTGTGGTATTGCCGTGCAAGGGAATAGGACTCAGTCATAAAAAGGAACAGACTGCTGAGACACACAGCAACACGGATGGATCTTATAAGCATTATGCCAAGTAAAAGAATCCAGATATAAAAACTACATACTGCAAGATTCTACTTCATGACATTCTAGAAAAGGCAAAATTTCACAACAGAAAGCAGATCTCTTATCTGGACTGGGTGTGGAAGAAGGAAAGGACTAGTTACACAGGGATCTGAAAGAATTTTTTCTCTAACATTTCAATGGAAATGTTTTGCATCCTAATTGTGGTGACAGTTACATGGTTGTATATATTTGTCAAAACTCATTGAACTTAAAATGGATAAATTTTATTGTATACAAATGGTTCCTCAAGAAAGCTGATTGAAAACAAACTGGATGGGAGATTGTCTGGGGGTTGAGGTTTTTAGTATCTAGTGTTTAGAGAAGGGTTTGACAAAAGCCCATTGGGGACTTTCCAGCTTCCCTGTCTCTATATAGACATCGGCTTTAATCCACAGGGCCCTGAAAAGTATGCGGAGCCACTGTCAGGACATGGTGACAACGTGAGGACATTAAGGCGATACCTACCACCAGTGCTCCTGCTTTCAGTCCAGGATCATACGGAACTCGGAAGCTCTGGGGGAGATTCAAATTCTGGAGGTTTTCAAGCTTTTGCTTAAGTTGGGAAATAACTGTAATTGTCAAAAGGACACAAGAGTTATGTTGAGTTCAAGAAATTAGCCATGTCATTTATCACCTTTCCTGAGGCCACCTGCATTCACAACATTCTATGCATTTAGTCTGGTGTGGAGCAAGAGGAAAGGGGGTAGGTTTCTGTCTTTGAGGAACTAACCATTCAGGGTGGCAGGATACATCAGGCTCACTAGGGGCTCACCAGGAGCAATATAACCACGTACATACACTACAGCAGGGGTAGGAATAGCTGAGTATATAAGGAATACCGAGACAGTCAGGTGGAGGAGGATGTTTTAAGGATGGTGATAGGGAATTGATACTGTAGTTTCCTTTCCAACAACAAACTTTAAACTGGCATCTGATTTGGGGAACAGACATTTGAAGGCCGTATTAAATGGAATTCGGTTAGGGTTTGGTAAATTCTTTTCAAAAGAGGAAGTTAGATTGTGTGGAGATGATATGACAGCTTCATAATTCTAAAGGCAAAATACATACAAATTACTGCCTGGATAACAGACAGACTGGAGGCCAGTACAAATATTTCCCTGTCTTGCTTACAATAAAAATAAAAGTAAGATTATTACTACCATTATTATTTTTAGGAGAGAGCATTATGGGTATATTGGAAAAGAATCAAAGGAAAAAATGGAAAATCAAAATATTCAGATGTGTAAAATACTGGCTGAGTATGTTACTGAGTGCCCCTTAAGAACCACAGTGCTGGATCTAGATATTACAAACATGAATAAGAGAGATTTCCTAGCTTCAAGGCTCATGTAGTCTAACAGACCAGAAAGATGTGTTAATGACCATAATTTAATGTAGTATCCACCAAAACCTATAGGAATACAGATGAGAGTGATTACTTTTCCTCCTTAGGAAAGAAATCCTGGAAATGGCTTCAGAGAGACGGTGATATATATATATATAGGAAGTACTCTGATTATATACACACACACATATATATAGCTATATATGATGTATATGTCTGTATATACACAAAAATTTAAAATAGCTTCTCAATTCATTTTAAAAGACTGAAGATTTGAAAATTATATGCATATATTGAAAGATGAGGAGAAAAGGATAAATACTTGGAAATAACTAATCTTCTGTGTGTGCACGACTATTCTTTAAAAAATATATCTTACATCTTCATTGTGCTGTTTTAATTTTTCAAAGCGTTTGCTATCTGTTATCATAAATTCATCATTAGAACGTGTATATGGTTTTTAAATATATTAACTTGTAAAGGGAGAACTTTACATTTGCTTCCTTCATGAAGACAGAAGAACAAAAAATGAGTTCTTGGCTACCTTTTGGAAGTTGGGACTTGGCTTCTAGGAGGAGGAAGAATCACAGGGGCGATGGCATTGGAGACCAAGGCATTTGGAAAGAGAACCAAGAAAATACAGCCACCGTACCTTGGGAACTGACGTCATACTTTTCTGCAGAGAGTGATTTAATATCAATGGTGACTTTCTGTAACATGTCAATTACTTGGACTTGTTGGGTGAAGTCGTGCAGCATGGCCGTGCCACAGCCCCTTAGATAGGCTTCCAGAATCACCGCAAACCTCTGCTGATAGTGCCTGGACTGGGCGATCTCACTTCTCAAGAACCAAAACAAGAAGTGACCAATTCTTTTGTTCTGAGAGTGGAAACAAGAAGGTTGAAATCCTTATGACTCATGCTTGAGATCTCGGCCAGTTCTGAACAACTTTTTAAATGTCACGATGCTTTTAGCAAAATAGAAGTACTTACTCTTAAGCCACGCTTCAGCAGAAACCTGGCCAGGGCGCTGTCATGGTATGGTTCAAATTTCACAGCCTAAGGGAAGAACACATTGGCATTTGTAGGACTGCCTTCTCTGTTGGTTAATCAAGAAACAGGAAATGGAGAAAAACTGATGGTCTGCCTTGGGGGGTTTCTATGGATAGGGTGATGAGAATCTCACCAGGCACAAGTTCAATCCTTTCTTTTCAAGGGTACTTTGGGCCAGAGTGAACCACTTGCTTAAGGACCAGGATTAGAAGCCAGAACTCTTGACTCACAATCATGAGCTTTGATAATGACAAAGACAAAGAGGGGAGGGCTTCTGTTCTCATTAAGGGCTTACCTGATTTGTTGGAAGGATAGAAGGGAAAGATGGAGATGGCTATAACAAATCTATAAAAGTGGAAGGTACGAAAGGTTGTTGGAAAGAAAACAGACAGTGGGAATACTGTACATGTAGGGAGAAAAAACTATTTGTTGGATGTGAAGATCCTGAAAATCCCATAGCTTCTCTTTTATTCAAGATGTGTGTTTGGCGTCAGACTGCAAATCACTGAGCTGCTCCCCGGTTCTCACTGCAACAGAGTGATCATTACTCCCTACCATGACGCAGTGTATACAGAGCTTTTTGCCCGAAAAATCTCTTGTTTTATATGATTCCTCAGGCTTAGTAGTTTTTAGTAGTTGTCATATCACTTGGCTAATATGGAGATATTCACGTAGGTGACAACACTGAGACTGAAGGAAAAAAACAAAGTAAAAATTAGGGGTTGGACCAAGAACAGGGCTAGGGCAGGGGGCTGCCCTTCACTCCCCTCGCTGTGGCCTGGCCAGTTAAAAAAAAAAGTGAAAAATAATTAAATTATGGTGGGTGCATGGACATTTGTTACATCATATTTTGTACTTTTCTGCAAGTCTGCAATAGTTCGTAATTTTAAAGGCAGCAAGACTAACAAATACTGTTTGACTATTAGAGGTGCATATATAGAGTTAAAGGGTAGATGTCATGTACAAGCATTAATAGAGGTTTAAAATTAAATCTCTCAGAGTATTTCCTTTATAAATAGACATAGTCTGTCCAGTTTTCCTAAGGAATAGGAGAAATGCCCATTCTACTCTGTGTATTAGGGACCCAGGGCTTTTTGGTATGATTTATAATACTAACTCTGGTTTTCCAGTTTGGAAATGATCAGAGCAGTAGTGACCTGATAATATTTCAGTTATCTCCATGTTTTTGAAGATGTGGTATGCTCAAATAGGTGCCACTGTAGCTGTAGCTAAGATCTTAATTCTGACAATGTGGTTATTTCGCCACTGGTACTCACTTAAGAAATGTTGTTGAGTTTCTAACCCAAACGTGAGTCTTTCTGACCCTCTTTGTGTTTCACTTCTGTAAAGACAATGCATATCTCAACTAGGAGATTATTTTAATCAGGAATCAATGAGTCATTTGGCCATACCTGAAAATGTCTCAAATAGTGTTACAAATGACTACTCTTCTTCAAATTTATGACCACAGATTCAAGATTAATATTACTTAGTGACCTCTTTCATTTAAGCATTTCCAAGAAGAGCACGAATCATTCTCCAATTCTGCAGCGTTTACTAGTGAAAACGGCAACGTAAAACAATTCACGGTAGCCTTGGGACTTGGAAGAGATCACATGCAAATTTGTTTTATGTTTTTTATTATGGAGAACTAGACAACTAAGGATACCTGGATTCTAAAATTTCGTTAGTGTTTACGGCAACATCTGAACTCATGGGCAGAGAGAAATGTTGGACATATTTGGTCGATGAGGCTAAGGCCAAATATATTGTTTCACATTTCTGCCTGATGGAAAGATTCAGAGTTAAAGTTGAGAGTATCCAAAATTCACATCAGAAGACTCCAGAAACTTCCTTTAAATGGTTAGACAGTTTGGTATCTAACATATAGGCTGGCTAATCCTAAGAATCTCAGGTCAAATATCACCTCCTCAGAACTGTCCCTGGCTTCCTCAGTCTAATCAGGTGTCCCCAGGCCCCTTGACTGTTTTCTCAAAACACTCTGTAGCTTTCCCCCAAAGCATTTGTCACAACTTGTTATGAAATACCTGCTTGTATGTGTACTCCTTTAATGTCGGTCTTCATGCACCACAAGCTACACTAGGACAGTCGGGCTCTGTTTTGATCACAGCTCTATCCCCAGCAGCTAGAACAGGGGAAGCACTCGGTACATGTTGTTGAATTAATGAATGAACACATCTCCACTCTAAAATAGCATTTCTCTCCCTGTTCCTTTTCTTCCTCTTCCTTGTAAAGCAGCATAGTGTAATTTGAGAATGGCTATAGTCAGATAGATCTGTTCCTCCTTTCTTTAACTCCCTAAGAAAATCTTAGGCAAATGATTTTGTCTCTCTGGACCCCAGGGAAAGGCCTGTGAAGGAGAGTGGAAACACAGTACCAGTCCTGTCTAAAGAGAGGGGAAAGAGAGGGGCTTTCAAGGTCCCATCCAGATATGAAATGTTACTCTATGAATTGTGGTAAACATGATCAGGGAGTATGACCTTTTTTTCTCTAGGACATGCTATCCTGTCACTGGATTGATGCAAGAAATTGGAAGGCAGTGAAAAGACCAGAGCCTGGAGTCAGACCTCCTGGGTTTGAACTTGTCTTTCAAAGTCTATGACCTTGAGCACAGTACTTAGCCTCTCTGTGCCTTGGTTTCCTATATATAAACTACAAATATTAACTTGACCTCCATCAGAGTTGTTGGGAAAGTTAAATGTGATAACACACAAAAGGCATGTAAATCACTTAAAGCCTTGGCATAAGGGAGCATTCAATAAGTCAAATCTATCATTAATAGAGTAAATGAGTACAAAGTATTCCCATAGGGCCAGTTCTCCTAAAAAGCGGAAATGTTAATGTCATCAAAATGCTGGTCAGCAAGCCCTCAAAGGCAATAAAAAAAGTACATGGAAGAGTTTACTGCTTTTTGAGGTAGTTTGGTCAGATCTACTTTGACTGATCATGTCTCTCTGGACAAAGGGCATTTGAAGACAGCTGAATGGGGTGCCTGTGCACATGCAAACGAATTCCTGGAGACAAGTGCTCCACTGACAATGCCAGCATCCCCTACCTGGACCAGCTGAAGCAGGTAATGTAGAACATCGTCATCCTCCAAGCTCTCCAGTTTCTGAACTGCAATGGCTCTTACATTTTCATCTGAAAAGTTGCAGTCCAGGAGTTGCATGGTTAATCCAACATCCAAAGCACTTTGATCCCAGACCTCCCTTCTGGCTAACAGTTGGTATGTTTTGGCTACAATTTCTTGCTGTCCCCATTTCACGGAGCTAAAGAGCTTAGGATATGCTTTGGGGTCCTTAAGGCTTTCATATCTGAAATGCCAGAGCAATTCTTTGTCTTCCGCCGTGAGAGGGTTAAGGGGATCAGTGGCTATGATTGCCTCTAGTTGTTTCCGAAGCTGATTGGGCATTTCGGCTCGCACCCGGTCCCCTTCCGGGTCAGGGGTGGGCCGATGTTTAGGCAAGGCTATGGGGTGACAGTAATTGTCTAGAAGAATGGAGATGGACATTGAGTTCTCCTTGTCCGGGTTGGTTGCCGACGTGAGCTTGTCAGCATTGAAGCTTCCATGGTCCTCCCCCTTCCCCGAGAGCTGCCACATGTGGAGCACGTACTCCCCATGGCGCAGGAGGAAGCGGTGGTCTATTAGCAGCAGGTTCACATAGTAGAGAAGCTGAGCTTTGCCTTTCGACTCAGGACTGGGGGTCTCCGCAGAGGCCTTACCAGACAGTGCTGGAGCTTTGCCGCAGTAGATTTGGAGGTTCAGCAGGGCACCTTTGGGTAAGTCTTTGATCTTGATACTGAACTCAAGCCACACGTTCCAGAGCACCTCCTCCGTGAAGGGTTTGGGGCTAGTTCTTCTTTGGCAAAGGACTTGCTGCCCATACTGGATGTTTGCCTCCACATAAACGGTGAGGTCAGCATTCCGGGGCAGGACAGGGATGTCAATGCCTCTGATCTTGACCCTGAACTTGCGGTCGCAGTCCCACAGGGACACGGTGAACACGCTCTCGTGGTCCTTCCCATGGATGGTCAGCTGCTCATGGTAGCCAGTGACTCCTGTGCAGTCATCCACCAGTGGCCACTCTTCCTTCCGCACCTGGTCCAGGTCTGGGTTCGGAGGCGTGTCCAGCACCAGGTGAATCTCTTCCCCGTTCTTGAGGCACTGCCTCACCCACTGGAAGTTTTTGATGGGCGTCTCACCTACCAGGTACTCATCCCGGCCACAGACGCGCAACACAAAGTCTTGTTCATTCTGACTTTCGGGGATATCCATCAGAGACTTCTTCTTGGCCATCTTGGTAAAGAAGCTATGGAGGATGGTGCCTGGGGTGTCATCCGCCGAGACCTTGATGGTCTGGCTAGTGGTACTGCGATGAATGACGATGAAGATGCAGTTGTTGGTGATCTTTTTCAACAGGTACTCCGGGAGGGGCTTGGACGTCACCCAGGGGTGCATGGCGTAGAGCTTGGGGTCCCGGCCGGCCACCTCGGCCATGCGCGGGGTGACCAGGCGGCGGCGCGTGAACTCCAGCTCGTCGTCGTGCACGTTGCTGACGTCGGTGACATCGTAGCCAATCAGGGCGTTGAGCTGGCGCTGGAAAGCCAGCGTCTCCTCTGAGGGCGTGCTCCGCTGCACGAGATGGATCTGGCCAGGGCTGCGGTGCAGCACCTTCCAGTAGCGCAGGCAGTCCAGGGTCTGCACCACCTGATATTTGTCATAGATCTCGTACCACTGTCCCTTCTTCTGGTAGAGCAGGAGGAAGTGGTCGGGGCCAAGGCGGTGGTAGAAGTCGGCGGCCACGCTGGTCTCCAGCGCGCGCAGCCACACCTGGGCCTTCATCTGCTCCACATTGCCATGGCCGGCCACGTGCAGCAGCGCCGTTTCGGGGGTCTTGGTGTTGCGCTGGCTGGTGGGCAGCACGAACTCGATGGGGATGAGCTCCATGGAGGACAGGCTGGCCGCCGTGCTGCGCTGCTTCATCCTTCGGCGCCTGCGGCAGTTGTCCTCTCTCAGCACCACGGGCGGTTCATAGTTCTCCAGCTCCATGCCCTGTGCAACCTGGCAGCGGAGAAACACAGGGCTCTGTCACAGGGAAGGCACTGGCCCTTTATATTCTTACATGAGCTGGCAGAAGGAGACGGTGTAAAAGAATGACAAAGAGGTGCGCATGAAGATACAGGGGCTTTGGGGTCGCGGCCCAGGGATCCTGGCCCCCACGACTTAGACTCTGCGGGACGAACTCTTTAAATAATTTCTGAGCCTGTTTCCCATCTGTCAAATGGAGTTAGCAGTACCTCAGCGGGTAGAGGGGAGAATTAAATTAGGGGACATACATGATGAGTATGGGCTGTGGATAGATGGGGGTTCATTAATTATTCATTCTACTTATGTTTGAAAATTTAATTTAAAAAAGAGAGGTAAAGCACTCATCTAGCACAGTGTCTGATGCACTATAAGGGCTCAAGCAGTAATTGTTAGGCATACTGAAATGCTTGGTTGAGTCAAATAATCCAATTAAAGGATTAAGTCCGGTGCTGTGGGAGATGCTGACTTTCCCCTGCCCCCCTTTGGAAACAAGCCTTTGACTTGTTTGCTGTCTGTTCCGTCTCACATTTCCTGGGGGACCCAGACACCTTACTCAACCTGCCTCACAGTCTCTTTTCAAGCTGTCTGGATCAGGTATCTGCTCCCTAGTCAACCTCCTGTCCTTTTTTTCTTTCCTTTTTTTTTTAATCTTTCTAGTTAGAAGAAGTAGTCATTGTCACCGATAAAACTCAAAAAGATCAGAATTGGTGAAGTGGCACTGAAGAACATTTGCAGATATTTAAAATTGTGAATCACATAGTATGTTAGCATCTTGGCTGTCATTGCTCCATTAAGGTACTATCTTAGGGGAGTCTCCAAGGCTCTGGTCTCTGAGTATGAACAGTCAGGTAATTTTAACTTTGTACCAATTCATTCCATCTGCCTTTGGAGAAGCCACAGGATGGAACGTAGGACCAGCTATTTGGGCCCCAATCAATTACTTAACTTCTTTTTTTGCTATAATATTTTCATTTCTATGATGGGAATTCACCAGTTTATTCTCATCAACTTATCTACTCTTTCCACAAATATTTATAAGGACTTACCTTCACAGAGCATTTAAGTATAAATATGACTTACTGCAGTAAGAAACTCTTCAAATAATGATAAAAATGTTAAACATATTAAAGTTGAAATATGAATAAGGTATTTTGATTTTAATATTTAGCATCACTATATTGTAAGGTATATTCTAATAAGAATCAACTATTGAAACAAAAGTTGTTTCACTAAATAGTATTTGCTTCTTAAAGGACTCATGTTAGTGAGGCTCAAAACTACCTATTTCCTTATGAAATAGTGGAGCACTTTTATATACCGAAAAGGAGAGTTTGATTATAAGATAAGAAAGATAAGTTTTATTAGAGCCAAACTTCTTTTCAAATCTTGGCTTAATCTTACTTTTAAATTCAATATTCCCTCTCTTGAAATATTATGAAGTAGCAGGGAGAGTATAGCTGAAGCAGTTGAGCACAGGCTTAGCATGTATGAGGTCCTGGGTTCAAGCCCCAGTATCTCCTCTAAAAATAAATAAATAAACCTAATTACCTCCCCCCACCAAAAAAAATTATGAAATGACACTTAGTAAACACATGAAATCAACTACCCCAAAGGACTGTCTCTTGCAGCTTAAAACCATCACTGATCTCTGGCTACATTACAGAATAACAAGAGAACTGTAAGATACGTTAATATTGGCACTGACCTGAAATGAAATAGGTCCAAATTTAGGCAACATGCAAATACTCAGCGATCACTTCTGCCTCAGTGACATCAGTCTTACAGGGTATGAGATGCAGAAGAAAACGGGCTGACTAAATACTCACTGCTTTCCTTCATGGTTGAGGCCACGGCGCGCTCTCCTTTTACAAGAAGATGTTAGAAACACTGGTTAAGTGCAGTAATCTCGAAGCATGCACTTGTGAGAACATGAAGGCTGGCTGTCACAGGCCCCTGTGCCCTCACTCTTCCTCCCAAACAAAAACAAAAAAGGGCTGATGCACCTGCAAAGCTACTGCTGGAACCCTGTGGATAGCCACACACATAGGTCGGACTAGACAATGAAACAGAGACATTCAGTGGCAGTCCCATCCTAAGGACGACAACAGTTCCAGATAAAAATATTCTAGCTGAGGCGGAAGTGTTACTATTCCGAGTCAGACCCAACAAAGGGCAAAAAATAGTAGGAAGTAATACCTGATGAAGCAGCGGAGGCGATGATGCTGAAGGATCATTTGTTTAATTTCTGAAAGCAAAACAAATTCAAACCTACCCAGTCTGCTTCTCAACTCTTCCGCTTTTCTGGGTCTCCCTTCATATCCAGATGCAGAGGAAGTGCTGCAGTTACCAGGAAGGAAGTTTTAACCAAGTTGATTATATGTGTGATTGCTCATTTAAAAAGTGTCAGAAATGCACTTCCTGTTAGGGCACACACAGAGAGCAGAGCACAAAGTTGAGCAATGTTGCCTATATATATATCTTTTTACTCTTTAAACTAATTTTTAAATTTTTTAAAAAAATTGTGAGAGAGCAGAAACGAATTAAAATCGCATAGATCCAAACAAAAAACACATTCGTGAGCCATAAACACATGAAATGTGTTTTTTTTTCTAGCTAGTTCTCAGTGAAAGAAAAGGCCTCCCAGCCATAGTATTAGAGAAACAGCCAGGTGGGATAATTTTAAAGACCCAAATTAAACCCATTAGTCCTGCAAAGCCCATTCAATTAATTTTCCCTGATGGGAATTCAAATGACCCCTTGTTCACACCCTGTAACTGAGGGAGTGGGGAAGAGAAACCTAGTGATCCAGGGAACTGAGTTATCCAGCCGAGCATTTTCAAAGACAAAGTCTGCAAGTTCACTTCCTTAGCTTGGCGAGACAGTTCTCTATTTTTCCAAAGCATTCAGCCTCTGAAATATCACTGGCTCAAACTGAAAGTTCAGTGTGTGTGTGTGTGTGTGTGTGTGTGTGTGTGTGTGTGTGTGTCTGTGTCTAAGTGCTGGGGGTGGAGACTTACTGTGAGCAATGATTGCAGACAGAATAGGTTTCTTGGTGTCATGGGGACGGGGGAGCTGAGCACGGCCACACTGTAAGGTAGAGGTGGGAGATGGCTCCTGATTCCCAGGAGAGTGGAGACACCATAGAAAAGCCATCCTAAATTGTCTTTACAGCAGCCCTATATCTTCCAGGTGACCTCAGTTCGTTCTACATCCTGAACCAGTGCCCCCTCCCCTCCATCCCAGGGTTTCCTATACCAGAGTTCATCCTCCAGCCTAGGCTCTCGTGGACTCCAGCTGAGCCCCGGGACGACAGGTAGAAGGTTTCTTGGAGATAGATAATTAAGAGTTTCTTTCAATGCTCTGACATCATGCTAAATGATTGTTTCATCTGATCTATCTCCTTTCACGTTGGCTCCTTGGGTCTCAGCGTTCCACAAATAGTGCTGTGATAGTTGACATTAGCAAGGAAATGATTTAACTCAAAGGATGCCTCCCAGATATTTAGAGGGTTCTTATCAGCTTCCCAGAGTATATTCCTGTATAAGAATACTCCCTTAGGAGGCTGGTGGCTTTAGAAGCCTCAGAGCTGCCTGTCTGGGTTGGTTTGGGGGAGGAGGCGAGGAGCCACACTGTAGGAGCACCCCACTCTGTCACCCAGCATGTGTGGAGGAGCAGGTGGGCTGGGTGGGGGATTGGGGTTGGTAGGGCTGACCACAGAGGGATCATAAGCTTGGCCAGCTCTGTTCTGCAGACCGTGCCACAGATTCCTTCCTTGCCCTGGCTCAGTCACACCCAGGAGGCCAAGTCCCAGCCTGACACCACACATGCACACGCACACGCACACGCACGCACGCACACACACACACAGTTATTTCAGAAATTCTAGACTCCAGCTCGGGTCTCCTTGTCTTTATAGAAACTACTCAGTTAAATCCAATCACACAAACGTTGTGTGTTCTGTGACTAAACTTGCAAATACTTCAGGCTTTTTTGGTGGTTTGAGATTAAAAGTACCCTGCTCTTCCCCAAATCCTAATATAGCCACTAAAATTTGACTGTATGTCGTCAGTGTTTCAGGGGAGAAGTAATGGCCAGTGTCTCCCTCCTGGATGTGGATACTTCCTCTATATGAGGAATTCTTTACTAGTTGGGGCCTCTTGTATCCTCAGATTTTTCAGGTTCAAAGACCTCTAGATCTCATCATTATTCTGTTTTATTAATATGTTTCTCTCTTTGGTTCTTTTTTTCCCTTCTGTGAATCTTGTGAATCTCGTACACCTGGTATCATGCTTTACGTAGACATACACTACATTTTGACTGAAAAAATACAATCAAGTAGTCTTAACCTTCTTTGTACATCCAGCCATCACAGGCATATTAGAACAGATTAGAAAATAAGAACACTGTTGGATGTGTTAGTGGTCAATAAACAGGTTAAGAATACATTATTTGCTCTGAGGAAGGCTTTTCATGACAGTCTTCAGATAAATTACTTGTGGCCTAGTTGGAGAGACAAGACATGCAGATAAAAAAAAAGTCATGTGCAATATGATAGTATATGTAGACCAAGTGGTTTAAATATATTATGTAACATTCCTTACATAATACAGTGGTTTACTGGAGCAGGTCACTTTGGGTGGAATTAAAAATTTTTTAAGTATACAGGGAGAGGTTCAGGATTTAAGGTAAGAGGAATCAGAAGGGAAAGTCTTCAAGCCAAAACATATTTGAGGGACAACGTGCTGATCAGTTCCCTGAACTGGAGAGTTTGTGAAAGACAATAATGGTGGGAGATGGTGGGAGATCTGGGAAGACATGAGAAGACAGGCCTGTGGTTCCTAAACTTATTTCGTGTCTTGGCACACATAAAGAGTAACAATATTTGTGTGATGCGCTGGCTGCAGTGGACTAAATGTTTGCTCCCATTTTGTATATTGAAATCCTAATGCCCAGTGTAGTAGAATTAGGAAGTGGGGCCTTTGGGAGAGAATTAGGTCATGAGGGTGGAGCCCTCATGAATGGGATTCATGCCCTCATTCATGCCCTCACCCTGTTTCTGCCCTGTGAAGACACAATGAGAACGCAGCAGTCGGCAGCCCAGAAGAGGACCCCTACTAGAACCTGACCATGCTGATACCCTCATCTCAGATTTTAGCTCTCAGAACCATGAGAAATGAATGCGTTGTTTGTAGTACTGTGTTATAGCAGTCGGAACTGACTGTGACACGGAATAAAGTGAAGAGGTTCCTCAGAGCATGAGACAGTGCCTGTGTCCCCAAGGGCCCGGGATGCCTTTGGAGCGCACTGATTGGGAAGCTGTCATTGGTTACTGTTCCTGGGTAGGGTAGCTAAGTGACTCAGACATCTCAGTATCTCTCAGCTTGACAAAGCACTAGAATCCATCTTTTCATAGCTTCTAGTTCAGCTTCTGATGGCTTATACAATGATATAATAGACTTAAAGGTGTTTTAATCTAATCTCACAATTTGCTTCGCCTTCATACCTCTCTTGGTTGTCTAGGCACACATGCCAATCTCTATGATGCTTTTTGGTCTGTGTCTGGTACGATGAAAAAGGAGCATCCTGGTAATGGAGAAGCACCAGCAATCACAAGACCTGGGTTTATTCCTGCTTTTCCCCTAGGCCTAATCTATGCTAATGCATCTCTCTCAGTTTCCTAATCTACGGAAGAGATAAACAGCCACCGTACTTACCTCATAGGAGGTTGTTATAAATGTTCAATTTTCAATAGCACATAAAGCTATGTAACTATACTATACTGTTGGATGCCACAGAGGACAGACAAGTCTAGGTGTCACACACTAACACTACAGACAGAGGAAGAAGAGGCATGCCAGCTTGTGTGTTTCCTTTCCAGAGAGAGGAAAACTCTCCCGGAAGCCTCCTGGGTTCCCTCCTGTCTCTGGCCAGACTTGGGGCAAGTGTCTGTCCCTCCCTCAGCCAATCCCTAGGAAAGGGGCTAGAATTACATGAGTGGTTTGAGCTAATCAGGCTATCTTTCTGCTGAGTGCCTGGCTGGCAGAGAAGGGTGGCCCCCAGAACAAAACATGAGGGCTCTGACAGGACAGAGCGGGGCTGGGGAGGACAGCAGGAGAGTCTGTCACAGCCTGAATGCCATTTGGGGGATAGGCTATTATCACGCCAGGGTAGGGGCGAGCCACGCCAGGTTCAGAGAAAAGAAGCTGCGGGAAATAAGTGACAGTCAACACAGCCCCAAGGAGTTACAGCCCGACCCAGTGCCTGTGGGACATTCTATTCTTATGAATAGAAATAGGGCACTTTTGTCAGTTTCTTTATTCAGCTCAACTTTGCCAATATAGCTCAGTAAGCACTTCACACATTTCTAGAAAAGATTTTTCTGTAAACTGATTTTTTAAAAAATTGAAGTATAGTTGATTTACAATGTTGTGTTAATTTCTGGTGTACAGCATAGCAATTCAGTCATATATATATTGTTTTTCATTATAGTTATTACAAGGTATTGAGTAGAGTTCCCTGTGCTGTACCGTAGGACCTTGTTGTTTATCTATTTTATATATAGTAGCGTGTATCTGCGAATCCCAGACTCCTAATTTATCCCTCCCTACCTTTCCCCTTTGGTATCCTTAGGTTTGTTTTTTATGTCTGTGTATTTGTTTCTGTTTTGTAAATAAGTTCATTTGTCTCATTTTTAAGATTCCACATATAAGTGATAATATGTGCTATTTGTCTGTAAATTGATTTTTAAAAGTCCAGACTCCTTAGCATGCTACATCGGACCCTTTATGATCTATCTCTTATGGTCTGTAGACTTCACCACACCATTGTCTATAAGGAACTTGAGCATCCGTGGATTTTGATGTCTGCTGGGGTCCTGGAACCAGTCCCTCCCCAGTGGTTACTGACAGACGATGCTATGCAGTTTGCATAACCTCCTCTGGGAGAGCTTTCTAGTTTAGGAAAGCTTTCCTCGTTAGTTATCCCACAACAGCAACAGCAGTATTACCACCGCCAAAAACAAACTCTTCCCATAGCACTTCCCATGCGTCTTACATTGTTTTGAGCACTTTCATATATTAATTTGTTGAATCCTCACAACATCCCAAGGAGAGGGGCATTGCCATTACCCCCACTTACAGATGATGAAAGTTGGGCACAGAGAAGTTC